CCTTAATAAATACGTGGAGTATTTAATATTGCATGCGTTGCGGCACGTTATGGAATATATTAGTTTTTCAATTATGGCTTGCTGCGGGCAAAAAAGAAAGCAAAATAAAAAAGAAAAAAAAAAAAAAAAAAAAAAAAGAGAAAAAAGGAAAAAGAAGAAAAAAAAAAGTAAAGATTGCTTGTCGCTGATTCGAACAATGTGATGGTCGCCCTTTTTCAGATTTTCGGATGCGTTTGCTCGTCAAGAATTGAAAAAAAAAAAAGAAAAAAAAAATAAATAAATAAATAAAAAAAGAAATAAAAAACGATTCGAAAAGAAGGATCGTTCGTTAGGGTCGATGCGGACCTTAATGTCAAAGATGAAAGAAAGACGAGTAGGAGGCGGAGGCGGAGGCGGAGGCGGAGGCAGAGATGGAGACAGAAGCAGAGGCGGAGATGAAGGAGTAGTAAGAGGAGGAGGAGGAAGAGGAGGAGGAGGAGGAGGAGGAGGAGGAGGAGGAGGAGGAGGAAGGAAGGAAGGAAGGAAGGAAGAGAAGAAGAAGAATAAGAAGAGGAAGAAGAAAATAAGGAGGCGGCGGCAGCGGTACACTCGTCGATGCATATTTCGCGAAGTAGTAGTCGAGAGTTGGCGGGTCCCTCTCTCACTCACCCCTCTTTTACCCTATTACTCTTTAGCGTACTACGGCTCGGTGAAACTCGCGACACAAATTATAATTAGCGGGTGTCAGCGACACAGAGAATACGTCGTCACGTATGCATGTATATATGTATATATGCATATATGTATGTACGTGGGTGGTTAAAGTACCGGAGCTGCTCTAACCAACTTGAAGAGTACCAGGGATATAGCTGTACGTTCTCGAGCACCATCATCAACGCATATATATATATATATATATATATATATATATATATACCTTTATTTCTATATACCTCTATCATGGAATTCTTGCATTGTTCTCTCGCTATTTACCGTATGTATTGTTAAATTTAACCAAGTATATTAGTAGGAAAATTGACTGTAAATCACATATATATATATATATATATATATATATATATATGTATGTATATATGTGTGTGTGTGTATACATGTATGTAATGTAAGTAGAGTTTTACGTTCAATCCTTAAGCCATACAAATACATATAGAAAAACGTATCATTGCTAAGGAAGATTAGTTTTTTTTCTTTTTTTTTTTTTTTTTCTATCTATAGATAATGACGACTGATAATAGTTAATGGCTTCCTTTGCTCAAGAATTTATTACGAAAATATTTCTATTTCATTTCTGTTTTGTCGATATGATTATAATAGAATGAATCTGTATTTTACAAACATTCTATCGTATGTATATTTATACGCGCACATTGATTATTTTTTCGAATCTCAGAAATACAAAAAAAGAAAAGAAATATATATATATATATATATATATATATACATGACTTCTTAGTGCACCGTTCTTGGTTATAATAATTCTACTCTAATCTTAACATCCTTCGCGAAGAAATGGAAAGGAGTAAGAAAGAAAAATATTAACGAGCCGTCTCAAGAGTGGTGTCCGTGACAGATAATGGAGTGCAAAATTAATGAGAAAGAGGAAGAAAGAGAGAGAGAGAGAGAGAGACCGCTTATTTTCTTGTACTAAAAGCTTCGTCCGATGTTTTGGTCGCAGCATCTCTATTTCGACAATGACACCGACTCTAACTCCATTTTAGTTTGGGTTAATTAGATTCTACGTGACCTCGCAAATGCAAGTAGTAACTCGATGAACAAGTTACTTGTTTTCGAACTAACTCACATAAAAATACAGATTCTTATGTACGAATCCATGTATATGCGTGTCTCTGAATGTGTGTGTATCTATTATACTGACGCAGGTGGGCGCGAATAATACAGGCAAACACAGAATAATACAATTTCGTTTAGGATCGGCTAGACGATTCCCTTCAAGTTTCTTTTATCGTACTAAAATCGTATATAATCAGTTTAAGATGTTTTCTATCTCTCTTTCTTTTTTTTTTTTTTTTTTCTTAAATCTACTCTTTCAACGTCTAACCACAAATAAATAAAAAATTAAGTATTATCTTAATTTTGTCTGTGAAAAAAAAAAAAAAAAGAGAAATGCATCGAAGGAATGCAATATATGCCTCAATAGAATTTAATCGATAAGTATATTCTGACCGTACGATTAATAAAGTTGTAATTTATTAAAATCAATCGTTCAATGGCTTGACTGGTCGTATCTTGTAATTAGAAAAAAAAAAAGAAAAAAGAAAAAAAAAAAAAGAAAAAAAGAAAGAAAGAAAAAGAAAAAAGTAAGAAGATAGAATATCTTCCTCTTATGATAATTTGATTTGCTTTCAGGTGTCAACAATATAGCAATGAATTTAATATCAAATCGGTATACTTTAATTATGGAAATGTCAGATTTGTTGAAGAGTTTTAACTCACCTTCGTTCTTCCTTCAACAAATTCGAAAGCAGTGACATCGACTACTTTCAATGAAGACACGTTCTAACGAATATCTATATCTATGTGCCTTTGTTCGTCTCTCTCTCTCTCTCTCTCTCTCTCTCTCTCTCTCTCTCTCTTTGAAAATGAACTTGCCAACTTCCTTATTACGCCGAAGATAGTAGTTTCGTAACAGTCGACGGTGATTCTATTTTGACTATGAACTCGAAAACTTTCTTATATGTCCTATGCGTTTTCAATCCATTAACTGTCAAAAGCAAATAGAAGTTTCGCGAGAATGATTTCAATATAATCTTATTCATAGAAATAATATTATATTTATTAATATCTACAATGGGAATAAAGAAAAGATCACAAAAATCGATGAATGGTAATAACAATTTTCTCTCTCTCTCTCTCTCTCTCTCTCTCTCTCTCTCTCTCTCTCTCTCTTTTAATTATCTGTCAAATCGAATGATACGTGGATTTTATAATCTCGTAAAAGGAAAGTAAATAGATAAATAAGAAATCAAAACAGAACAAAACAAAACAAAAAATTTGTCCAACGAGCAAAGAACATTATTGAAATAATAAAAGAAAATTTATGCGAAATAATATTTTAACGTTAGAAATGTGCACACATAATCATACACACGATTTATATTATTTTGAAATATTTGTTGAAGGAGCGATTAATGATCTGGAAAAAAAAAAGAAAGAGAAAAAACAAAAGAGAGAAAAGTATCCATTAACGAAAGTTCTCTCAGATCTTCGCGATCTTTAACACTTAGAATTATTCGACGCGAACACGATGGTACACGTAGATCGAATTAGCAAAATCTGTAGTGCGGATACCTTGTTAAACCTTCTATACAATTACGTATTTTGCGTTCGAAGCACGTAGAACAACAGTGTTTGGACGATACGGAATTGCTAGCGATATGTTTAGACGCGTGCAATCAAGAATTTTGAGTAGCAATTGGCAAAGTCAACAATTCCGATAACGAAGTACAATACAATCGAGTAAAGGTGCTGAATATCCTGATAGTGTATAAATAAATAAAATAAAATAAAATAAATAATAATGTATGTTCGATCGATCGACGAACGAAAAATATTGAAAAAAAAAAAAAAAAAAAAAAAAATCGAAAAGATATTCTGATATAGTTTTCATTGTCACATTATTTCATCGCATACATCGATATAAATCGAGATAACTCGTAGCAACAACTCTGGACAGAAAAGTTACGTATAAAAGCGTTCGAAAAGAATTACGATTGTTTCGTGATAAGTTTACACAGAATCGGTGACCCATAAAATGGTTCATATCGTTCTAAGAAAACGAAAGATCAGCGACCTTCAATTTATATCTAGAGAAAGTTCAAACGAGAAAAGGAAATTGAATCTATGAATCAAACCGACCGATGATCGTTAATCCAAGGGAAAATGAAATTCTTATTTTTCTTTTATTTTCTTCGATTTCTTTTTTTTTTTGTTTTTTCTCCTTTTTTTTCCCCCTTTACTTTCTTTCTTTCTTTTTACATCGATATTCTCCAACGTTTTTTCTTTTTTTTTCTTTTTTTTCTTTTTTTTTTCCAAGCAGCACGTTAATTGTTAACAAGTTCATTAATAGTAATTCAATTTACGTTCAACGATTACGTGAGTAGTTCTTATATACATATGTAAATATATATCTATACACACACATATATTTATATATATATATATATATATATATATATATATACAGAGAGAGAGAGAGAGAGAAACTTTCGACGAGGCGAAAGCTATCGAGCTACTACTAGAGGAAAAAAAAAAAAAAAAGATAAGAAGAAACAAAAAGAAAAAAAAAAACAAGGAAAATAAAAGAAATAGAGAAGAGAAACGATAATTGAATTCATTCGAGAAATAAATCCTCGCACTTTTCTAAAGAAAGGAGTACGATCGTGACAAGAAAATTCGATCGAACGATCCGACAACGTGTTAGTTATCGTAACTAAGAGACTCGTATCATCAATTTTCAATCTCCCAAAATTTCGTAAGTAATTCGACGAGCGTGTATTTAGGTATCACGCGGATTTTCTTTTTTTTTTTTTTTTTTTTTTTTTTTTTTCTTTTTTTTTTCCTTTACATTCTCCTTCGTCGAATTAACGACCGATAAAGAAGTGATATTATAAAAATAAGAGAAGAAAAAGAAGAAGAGGAATACGTGTTTAACATTTAACATGAACTTTGATTTTTGGCTTAAAAGAAGAAAAGAGGAAATAAATAAATAAATAAATTGATTTATATCTTTCAACATTAATTAATTTTTAATTGTATAAAGATAAAAAAAAAAAAAAAAAAAAAAAAAAGAAAAAAAAAACCCGAAGTATATAAAGATATAAGAATATCAATTTGACATTTATCTCTCCGAATAGACGCGTCCCTGTTATTATTTTCTCGCAACATATACACACACACACATACACACAATCGGGCATACAAAAAAAAAAAAAAAAAAAAAAAAAAAAGAAAAAAAAACGAAAATAGAGATAATAATACGTATATATTCGTTGAGAAGAGAAAAAGAGAAGAAAAAAAAGAAAAAAAAAAAAAAAAAAAAAAAAAAGAAATTAAATCAAAAGAGATACGACTTACGGTAATAAACATAAATTCTATCGGAGCAACGAAAGGGGTCATTAAGTACGCAAGAAGATTTATTTTCGCAAATTTTAATCGCATTCGCGTCGTAAGTATCTTCATACTTTCTCTTCCTCTTCTCTTTTTTTTTTTTTTCAGTGGCCAATGGAGGGGCGTGGAGACTAGGAGTGGCGAAAGGGGAGGGATAGGCGGGAGGGAGGGAGGGAGGGAGGGAGGGATAGAAAGACTTCGTTTCTTTTCTTACTTCTTCATTGAATACCACAAACGAAATACGTAGTTTCGTACATATGAATATTCATTTAATTAAATCGAAATGACCCTCGGCGAACATTGTACGAACGTTTAGTTACTCGACACTTTCGCACGATGGCCACCGCAAAAGCATTAGAGATCGAGCCTCGTAATGTACCTCCTCTTTTCCACCCTCCCAACCTCTACTCCTCTTAATAACGGTTGCGCGAGATAGATTTATAGCTCGTTCGTTTCAAGTTTTTCTCCAAAAAACATTTCTTCCATGGAATGCGTTTTATTACATTCACGAAATGGGACTTCATTAAATGGCCTGTTGCTCAAAAGTGATTGCCTAATTAAAAATCGTGTATGCTTTTTTTTCCTTTTCTCTCTCTCTCTCTCTCTCTCTCTCTCTCTCTCTCTCTCTTTTATCTAAACTGAACGTGCAAACGTTATTATTTAAGTGTGTATGTATGTATATATGTAGATGTTCGAAGAGCTTAAAAGAAATTTCATTTCGATCAAACTCATTCGATCGTATATTAATTAAATTTCTAAAATAACGTAAAATGTAATATTGTAGTATATATGTATATATATATATATATATATATATATACTCTGTTCGTCAATTTACTTTATAATAAGATACGAACTATTGGAAATAAACTTAAATTACTATGTAAATACATATTACTTACTACACGCATATTGTTAAGTTAATATTTGTATAATATATATATATATATATATATATATATATATATATATATATACGATATCAAATAATTTTAAATATTACATACGATCCTATGTTATTCATAGTTCTTATGAATATTAAAAAATATCATTATAGGACATAACATTAATGATAAAACGATAATATATCGTTTAAAATATCGCGAAAAAGATTACATCCGTTAATCGTACGAGTAATGAATAGGAAAACATTAATGAATCATCGTTCGATTATAAAATTGAAAAATATTTACTCTCGTACACGTGACAACGAGGAGATAGCGATATCGATATCATCGAATGACTCGATTACGCGTAACACTTACGCCTAAAGCGTTCTAAATTATACATACACACACACACATACATATATATATATATATATATTCCATATAGAAGCATCAACCACATACACTCTCTCTCTCTCTCTCTTTCTCTCTCTCTCTCTCTCTCTCTCTCTCTCTCTCTCTCTCTCTCTCTCTCTCTCTCTCTCTTTATCAATTAACTACAGCAAAACAGGCAAAGGAAGTAATTGAGAAACAGGTCGCGTTGAAACATTCGCAATTTATTCGGATTACAAATGAATACAACTTAGTGCTATTAACGTTTCTCATTATCGTTTATATATTTCTGTGAATTGATACGGAAAAAAAAAAGAAAAGAAAAAAAAAATGTAGATTTTCTAAAGAGAAAGAGAGAAAGAGAGAAAGGGGAAATAAAGATAAACGACGTCGTTACTCGTGACCATCGAATGTTCACTAATTCGACTTATCCGATCGCTTAATCGTACGAGGATATTCAAAATACAAGCTACTAACTATCCTAAGTAAGTACTTAGTTTACGTAACCAACGATTTACAAATTGTTAAAGATTTTGGTTTAACATGAATTATTTAACCGACTGTTAAATTAGAAATGTGATCTCGTTCGTTCACGTTCAACGATCTGAAAAATTCATTTTAAAGTAACGTTCAATAAAAGTTTTGTTATATTTATCGATTACCGATTCGATTTCCGACGAGATAATCGACATACTTGAGTTGGCATTGAAGAGAGACAGAAAGAGAGAGAGAGAGAGAGAGAGAGAGAGAGAGAGAGAGAGAGAGAGAGAGAGAGAGAGAGAGAGAAAGAAAAAAAATTCCAGACAGAGAGAAAACAAACAAACAAACAAACACACAACACGTAGAAAAAGAAAGCAAAAAAAAAAAAAAGAAAAAAAAAAAGAAAAGATTCATTCAAAAATATTTAATACGATCGATAAGAAAATTATAATACTTTCGGTATGGTACTACTACGTTATAATGGTTAACAGAATTATTCCATATATAATAATACTTATATATTCGAGTTATGCACGGTACACACCCATTTCTATTTACTTATGTATGCCGTATATACAATAGAGACTATCATTTAGAGAATGCAACGACGATCACGTACATAATTCTGTGGCCGAGTGGTGACGCATCATCTTTCAAGAGATGGCACGACATTAAAGATTTTATCTTAGCAAAATTCCAGAATAAGTTGTTTCATTATGCGATAATAAAATAATTTTCATTATCAATATGAAATTGAATATTTTTTTTTTCTTTCTTTCTTTTTTTCTTTTTTCTTTTTTTTTTCTTTTTTTTTTGTTTTATTATAAATAAATAACATTTCCACGTAGATGCCAGAGGAAAACTCGATAATTTGAACAACAACATCGAAAGTCCGAGTTGATGTGCGAGGTCGACCCTCGTTGGTACGAGCGAATGAGAACGTTCCACCTCGATTGGAAGATCCTTGAGTCCCGAGATCGGATTATTACGTATGTATCGTATTCTTTTATTAAGTTACGATTAAATGTATTAGGCGGTGTTTTCGTTGCGCATGCATGCATCTAAAATGAGTTTGGATGGAAGGTGAGTTGAGTGTTTGTTCCTAAAATTTAATTTGTTTTAATATGCGAAAGAAAAAAAAATCCAAATAGTATTTACATATACAAATACATACATACATACATACATACATACATATATATATATATATATCGGTATGCTTCTTTTTAAACAATACGGTCAAATATCATAGATGCTATTGTTATTATAAATAAATATTTCTAATGCGAGTTGTTAGATTTTTTTTTCAGAAAGGAAATGTAATATTTATTAGTTTTTTTTTTTTTTTTTTTTTTTTTTTTTTTAAAGAACGGCGGTTACGAAGGAAGCAATAATTTTTTTAATTAGCGATTAATATTTTAAATCAACCAGCATCTAATTTACCATCTCATCGATATTTCGTTGAATTATGGCGATAATAGTTATACTATTACAATATATATATATATATTATAATAATATACCTATAACATAATAATATAGTATAATAATATATGGTATAATAATAGGACGATAAAATTACAATAACAAGTGTTTTATCGTATTATAATTATTATCTTTAAAATTGAATGAAATGGCGATGAAAGTGTAAATTGCCTCGATTGGATTCCTATTGAATATTCTCTACAACTTTTGTTATATTTAAAACATCGATTTCTTTATTTTTTTGAAACATCGATTTCCATTAAAAAAAAAAAAGAAAAAGAAAAAAAAAACGTAGACTTCAGTACTATAAAAACAATCACCAGGCCTTATGAGATAAACTCAATAAATATTACATTTCACTCCTCAAAACCTATTAACTTTTTATTTGATACATTTATTTACAATACAATCGGAGATATTTGACGAAATGAAATTTATAGTGAAATAGTGACACATATAAATCTGTTTATATGAATATCTTTAAATAATATATATATATATATATATATATATATATAATACAAATATTTCATATATAATCGATTTCATTTGATTTGAACTTTTATATTTTTTAGTAAATAATAAACGAAATATAAATGAAATCGGATGTTAGAAAAAATTTTCCCTCGTTAGAAAAAAAAAAAAAAAAGAGAAAGAGAAAAAGAAAAAGAAAAAGAAAAAAGAAGAAAGGGAAAGACAAAGAAATCGAAAGCATCCTTCGGACTTCCGTTTTCGACCTCCGTTAAAGGTCGAACAACATTTTTATCTATAGGAATAAAAAGAGAAGAAGAAAGAGAGAAAAGAAAATAAAAAACGAAAAAAAAAAAAGAAAAGAAAAGAAAAGAAAAGAAAAGAAAAGAAAGAAAAGCAACTATAGCAAGAGAGTCAACCTTCGCAATCGCATTGGCCGATACCGTGCTGAAGAAAGGAGACGAGAAGAAGGAGAAATAAGAGAAGGAGGAGGAAAAAAAAAAAAAAGAAAAGGAACAGAGAATGCTCGAAGAGATCTTACGGTCCACGAGAATCCTGTTACACCGGTATTTCCTTTCTACATCAAAGTGATACTAAGCTACAAAAATTATTACTTTTGTCTCTATGCGACATAGCTGCTAAACAGGGTAATAGATTTTATTTAAATATGAATACCCTTTGAGAGGGACCCATCAAATGATTTTTATTGATTATAATTTTCTTCATGGGGAAGAAAAGAAAAAGAAAAAAAGAAATAATGAACGCTGAATGGATTAAAAGAAGGAAAGAAAAGAAAAGAAAAGAAAAGAAAAGAAAAGAAAAGAAATAATAATAAAAAAAGAAAAATTCCCCACTTCATTTCAATGATCTTTACGAGGATCATACAAAAGTATTGACCTTGAAACAATAAATCGAATGAATTTTAATAAACAATTAATCGTTGGAACAATTCGAACGATGACTATATTGTCATCAAACGTTTCTTTAATCGTAATGAAGTTAACGGGGAGGGGGAGGGGGTTGGCGAGGAGGAACGGTGGTATCCTCGAACATTAGAACCTGTAATCGAATCGAGAGCTTTTTCTTTTACTCGAAGATATAGATCTCGTATGTTCGATCGGATGGTACGAGTAAGGTGATACCAAAACCACTTTCTAAAATCACCCGTCTTGGATTACCATCGAGACTCTCCTTGAGGTTAGGAGGGCCAATGTATGCGCGACGCTTTAAACCTAGAAACTCTGCTCCCTCTTTCCTTCCCCTTCCTTCTTTTCTTCTTCTTCTTCTTCTTTTTTTTTTTTGTTTTTCCTTTCTTTCTTCTTCATTTGCTGCTTTTGCTTCTTCTTCTTCTATCAACTTCAACTTCTTTTGGTTCGTATCGTTTACAAGGAACGTCATCAAAGAGGATAGTTTGATGTCAAAAAAAAAATAAAAAAAAAAAATAAAAAAAAAAAGAAGAAAATTAAAAAAGAAAAAAGACAAAAGAAAAAATATTTTTTTTTTAATCACGATTTTTATCGCGACATAATACACACAACAATCGAAATTTTAATCGAGAAAAATAAGAAAGAAAATTTTAATCGACCGATTACAGTCTGAACGAAAGAATAGTAGATAAAAAAAAAAAAAAAAAAAAAAAGAGAAAAGAAAAAAAAAATTCTGAATAGAAGAGTTATTTCTTTTAGAAGATTTTTTTTTTTTTTTTAATTTTCTTTTTTATAGATAACGTTCGAAATTCTCAAAGAGAAAAAGATTATAAAAAGAATGAACGAGAATAACGATTACGATACTACGACGTAGAGGGATAGATAAATCTTGAGGATGAATAATAATCGTAAAAAAAAAAAAAAGAAAAAAAAAATGTTTGCGAACGATAAAACCCAGATAGAAATTATTTTCCGAACGATTGTTTATTTAAATAGAATTGTTATTCTAAATTATGAGAGAGAAATGATGGGGAGTATCCGATAAGTCTATGAGCGTTAGTATTGGGAAATAAAATAAAATAAATTTTCTTTTATTACGCATAGCTCCGATAGTTTTATTTTCATCCGGCGCCATCCTAAGGTCGCACGAAAATAATTTCGCGTGTCCTTCGAAATTTATCTTTCGTCGAGTCGTACAAAGCCGTTACTTTTCGCCGTTGCAAATATTATTCTAAGTCACGATGGGGATTAAATGATATATTTTGTCACTTTTTCTTCGGCGAGGAGAGAACACAAAGGAGATAGAAAAAAAAAAAAAGAAAAAACAAGGACGAAAAAAAAGGAAAAAAAAAAAAGTGAAAAGAAACATTTACAAATAAACGATAACAAAAGTTATCGTTTGTTATCACTTGTGATGCTTTTTTAACGTAGCGCGATGAGTATAAAGAGAACGCGTGTGAAAAAAAAAAAAGAAAAAAAAGAAAAAAAGAAAAAGGAAAAGAAAAAAAAAAGCAGGAATATCGAATAACGTTAGGGAGAAAGAATGTCGTTAGAACGAAATACACACACAATGATATAAAACAGTGATGGGCAGGCAACCAAAGAGAGTCTGCGGACTCTCCAACAGTTGACTTGCGGCTAACAGCAGCTTTGCATTTCATTAATTAAAGTGAAATATTTCATTAATTAAAATGATAAACACAGTTATTCAATTTCTTTCGATTTAAAAATATATATGCGAGTAGATATTATCTTTGTATATATTAATAGAAAGTAAATCAAATCTAGAATAAAAAAAAACATATACATAGATATATATACATATACATATATAAAAAGGAAAGATAGAAAGAGAAACGAGAGAAAAAAAGAAAACCCGTTTAATATATATATATATATATATATATATATATATATATATGTAGATAAAAATAATCAATGCCATTTAATAAACCATGTGTATTAAAATTTTTTGATTAATAAATAATAATAAATTTTCGAATTAACAAATTTTTAAATTGAATACACGATATTGACATTAAATATCAATTTATAATAAATATTTGTTGGGATTTCTTTTGGAATTTTATTGAATATAAAATTTTAGTTACGAGCAAAAAGTAAATTTACTTGTCACTGATATTAAAGGATAGAAGTTGGGAGGAGAGGGAATTGACGTCGAAAAGCGATAAGATACTTCGTACATCGTTATAGAATTCTGAGCTGGTACGTTTTACTCGGGCGTTTCGAGTGCTTTCCGTCGCGATGTCAATTGAAAGTTTTTAAATCGTAGTACGGTAGATAGAGAACGGATACGAGGTAGCAATGGATACGCGAAATCCAACGGGAATATCATATTTACCATCTAGCTTCCTTTTTCTTTCTTTCTTTTTTCTTTTTTTTTTTTTTTTTTTTCTTTTGTCGAATAAACGTGCAGAATAGTTTGATATAGCTAAACTTTTTTTTTCTATCTTTCCTTTTCTCTTTTTCTTTTTTTTTTTTTTTTTTTTTTTACCTTGGATAACTATTCCATAACTCTGAGAGAAATAAAACGTGATAACGGTGAATATCTTATTTATATCTAAACAACAATAGAGGAATAACGTTGAAATATAATAACAAGTTTCTATGAGAAAGTAGAACGAAATGTGAAAAAAAAAAAAAAAAGAAAAGAATTATAAAGATTTTTTTTTTTTTTTCTAAATCAACATTTCCTCATTATTTTTCATTTATATTTGTAAAAATTGTTTGTGTCGACGAAATGGATCATAGGAAAAAGCAAAAAATTTTTTTTCCTGTCGTTTTCCTTCTTCTTTTTTTTCTTCTTTTTTTTTTCTTTTTTTTTTTGTTTTTTTCCTTAAACGTAATAATCCGACTAAGTTCGGATTCTATACAATAAGTAAATAAATAAATAAATAAATAAATAAATAAATAAACAAATAATCGAAATATATATAATATATAGAACAAGCTCTCCAAAATCAATGTAAAATTTTGTTGAAAACTTAACACGCGTAAGTTCTAACGTATATACATATATGCATATATACATACATACATACATACATACATACATACATACTATGTCGAAATGAAACATATTAAACCCCGTTACTTTAACGACACTTAACGTGTATCATACGTACAACGAGGTTACAACGGTTGTTGCCCTACTTTCCTATCGTGAGCGTTTTCTTCTCTTTTCTTTAATTTTTTTATTTTCTTTTTCTCTTTTTTAATTTCATATTTTATATTATTATTACTATTATTTTTCTATATTAATTTTCTTACACAAAAAGCGAACAATTAACGAAGGAAAAAGAACTACGGTGATGGGTCTCTCGTTTTCGTCTAATAACGAATGGAATGTAATTTAGTTTTACTTGAGAAAGAGAAAAGAAAAGAAAAAAAAATCAACAAACAAAAACAAACAAACAAACAAACAAACAAACAAACAACAAACAAACAAGAAAAGAAAGGCAAGAAAAATAAGGGAAATCTTGAGGAAAAAGATTTGTTGGATACAAAAGGCTCGTTAGCGTTGGCACGCACAAGACAAAGAGAAAGAAAAAGAAAAAGGTAAAAAAAAAGAAAACAAAAAAGAAAACAAAAAAGAAAAACAAAAAGAAAAAAAAAGAGTAAAAACGAGAAAAAAAAAGAAAAGAAAAGAAAAGAAAAGAATGATCGTTCTCTTGGTCGTTCTTGTGGTCGTTCTCTTGACCATTGTAGTCGGGATGATCCTGTTGGGCTTGTTGCATTCTGCCGTTGTTGCCTTGTTGTTCTCTTTTATGAGACACACGTTAGATTTTGTGACATTCCTTCGTAGATGGTTTTAAGCCTCATAAGGTATTCTACGACGTGCTTTTCTAGATACTTAAGAGGCGCACCAGGAGGAGGATTCCACTCTCGCGTTACCTTTCTCTTTCTTCTCTGGCTCACCCAACTATCCTCCCTTACCTCCCTCCTCGCCAACCCTCCTCCTCCTCCTCCTCCTCTTCTTCTTACTCTTCCCTCCCTTCTTCTCTCTCTTTCTGTCTCTCTTTTTCTTTTTTCTTTTTTCTCCAAGCACCGATACCAGTTTCGTCGAGAGCTCGACGTTCGAGGCGATACTTCTTCTATGTATCCGTGCAAACACATACACGTACGTACGTACGTGTGTATGCGTGCGTGCGCGTGCGTGCGTGCGTGTGTGTGTATGTACATTCGTACACATTCGTACTTAGAGCTCTACAGGTTAAACGCTTGATATCTTGAATTCTAATTGCAGTTCAATGGAAAGGAGATGTCGCGAAAGGCTTTTCGTACTATTCGAACGATACTTATCGTGAATAAATTCGAGTTTTTTCTTTTTTTTTTTTTTTTTTTCTTTTTTCGTTGAAGAGTATATAAAATAAAGAAATAAAGAAAAAAAACATGATCATGATGTTGATGATGATGATGATAATAAGAAGAAGAAGAATGTTTTACATTACATTTGACAAGTTAATATTGTATTAGATTAGATTAGTTCTTTATCGTATATAGTTTTTGAATGTTTTCATAGAAAAAGAAGAAGAAAAAAAAAAAAAAGAATGAAAAAGAAAAAAAATTATTTACAACAAATTGTTATATAATGATTAAATAATATATCTGGACGATTGTATCTTGTATTCGACGTGTTAACATATTTATACGAGATTAGATTAATTCTTTATCGTATACAATTCTGTTCTTATAGAAAAAGAAAAAAATTGTTTATAACAAATATGCCATACATTTGTTAAACTATACAAACGAGAAAATTGTATATTACATTCGATAAGTTCGACAACATTATATGATATTACATTATTGTCATATATTATTTTATCGTATACAATGACAACGAAATGTTTCATTTTTAAAAAGTAAATTTTTTCTAACTAATAAATTCTCAATATGCAAAAATTATTAACGATATATAAATAATAAAGATTACATATGAGATTCCATTGGTTTATATTTATATTACATTACATTACATCGGTCTTATACAGATACATTTTTTTTTCTTTTTTTTTTTTTTCATATAATTTTATAACGAATTGTTTATATGAAAGGAGTAATATAATTAATAAATATATTCAATAATATTACACATATATGATACTATGTAATTACTTTAACTTCATATAAATTTCTACGAGTACAAATTCTATAAAAAAAAAAAAAAAAAAAAAAAAAAAAAAAAAAAAAAAAAAAAAAATGTTTATAACAAATCGTTATACATTTTGTTAATAAAATATAGCAAAAAAAAAAAAAAGAAAATAATATTTTATCCTACAAAATGGTTTTTCTTTCTTTCTTCCTTTTTTTTTCCCCCCACCTTTCCTTTCTCCTTTTTATTCGAAGTCTCTACGACTTTTAATTCCGAAGATATTTCGATGTTGGTAAAAATAAATGTGAGTTTTTTTTTTTTTTTTTAAATACCCATTGACCTATATAATTTCTTGGAAAAATACATTGGCCTTAAAGGCATGTATAAATTCTTGGAAATTACGTTTCACAGACGGGCCTCAAGCGACAGACAATGTTTTATTCTTCTTTTTTCTTTTCTTTTTTTTTTTTTTTTTTTTTCGTTACTACAGTCTACCATTACTACTACTACTGCTACTACTACCTACTACCTACTACGCACAGATGTTGTATACTACGTACAGTAATACGAATTATGAATGAACAATATTTCGTCGGCAATATCTCCGCAATGGTTGCTCGTAAAGACATAAAGAAAAAAGCACCATTTTAAAGGGAATAACATGGTCCTTTTAATTAAACAATTTATTATCGTCGATATATATAGAAACAATTTTACACACACACATATATATATATATATATATATATACCTACGATTTTCGAAGAAAAATCGATATTCCATTGAAATTCATCGGCGTAGAGTTCGACAGTTAAGAGACAATACTTCGAAAAAAAAAAAAAAAAAAAAAGAAAAGAAAAGGGGAAGAAGAATGAGAATAAAAAGCAGAAGAATGAGAAAGGAAAAAGAAAAGGACAGACAGAGAGAAACAAAAAATAATAATAAAAATGATAATACCGAGACTCGACAAAGAAATAAAAAGGGGTACTGAAGAAAGAAAAAAAAAATAAAGAAAAGGAGAGAGAGAGAGAGAGAGAGAGAAAAGTAAAAGATTGACAATGAGAAATGGGGATGGGGACGAAGGGTGAGGTGGGCGAAGGTTGAGAGGGGGTCGAAGAGGCAGGTGAGGGGGCAATGGGGAGGGGGCAAAATGGCCCAGGGTTTTCTTCGAGTCGATGGCACAAGAGGGAAGAGACTTACCGAGGGGGTGGTGCTACGATGCGTTCCGCCCCTGGAATGCGGATTAGAGGGGTTCTTCGTATTGGCGGGACCATTACTGCAGGCTCTTTGACTCTCTCTTCTAGAGGGTGGCGGAGGTGGTGGTGGATGCGACAAAGGTCTTCCTCCGTTTCTCGAATGTTGTTGCTGTTGGTGATGGTGGTGGTGGT